GATGAAGTACACTGCTGAGGGGAGCAGCAGGCAGGTCAGGAGAGGTCTGCCTCGCCATGTGGATCACCTCTGGGCTGGGTATCGAACTTACATTGAAGCAGCTGCGGCCAGCTTACAGTGCTGCACTCTAACCCATTGCGCCACCAGGGAGGGCCCGAATTTATATTTTATTATAACTGCAAGTAACATCTTGGTGTAGCATCTCTAGTTAGATTGCAAGACAACAATTTATACTTTAGTACTTTATATTTAAATTTAAAAATAATAACTTTATGATCCTTTAGTGACTCCTTTTCATTAGCTATATGTAGTATCCTTAAAGTAGTAGTAATAGATACTAAGTAGAAATACTGATTACAGAAAGGAAAAGTTACAATTCATTTAATTTGTTTATTCCACTGTTGAATCAGCTGATATCACTTTTGACTGCTGCTTTTTTTTCTATTTCATTTATCCTAAATTCTGATAATCCTGGTCAAGCTAAAAAAGACACAGAATTTATACTGCCTTAATATTTTAAATAGCATAAATATATATCTTATAGCATAAATATGCATCTTGTAAACATCTATATTAACATACTTTCAAAGAGGATCTTCAAAATGATGTCTATACTTGACAGAAATTCAGGAAGTAGAAAATTATTCTTGTTTATCCATTGGTACTCCTCACTTTCATAGCCTAGTATCTGAAGTTATGTAGAAGGCATTATTCATTATTTTAAATTGTTTCAGTCTTCTGATAGAAGGGGGCATGGAAATTATTCTACTCTTAGCTAAAATTTCAGGAGACTTTTTTATTAATCTAGCTTGGAAGCCACAGTCATAAAGACAAGTAATAAATGGTCTGATTACAGTAGCAAACATTGGAATATTGATACATCAGATTATTATAGCACTCAAATGAGTGACGGTTGTCATACCAGAACTAGTTGGGTCATTCCTGCCATAGCTAGCCAGAATAAGCAACAATTAGGTTATCTCTGTTCTTACAGAAGGCCCTGGGTCATGAACTTGGTAACTAAAACTGAGAAAGTAACACCAGCTGCTTAGTAAGCATTAATTGTTGTTCATTTGAATTACAATTCTCCTTGGCCCTCCACCTGCTTTCTTACTGGTCTGGCCTACCTTCTTTCAGGCCCAGGCCTGGGAGTGCTTGCAAGATATAGTTGGGGTAAAATGTTGACTTTTGGTGGACACCACGGAGTCACATTGATGCAGATAAGGCACATGGCTGTGGCAGGATTCAGCTCCTTCATCAATTTTCAGGTTAGTATGGCTGAATCAATTATAGTTTGTAGAAGTTCCCTTACTGCAGACTTTACTGGCAGTGGAGACTGGGATCATTCTTCCATGAGAGAGATGGTGATGTGCCACATTGCTTTGGAATACAATATTGGACATGGTTGCACTCATATGGAGCACCAAGTGTAATTATTTGTTTAATTTATTCAAACTTTTATTCTTCTAGACAACCCTTCCTCAGACAGTTTTCTTGGTTCAGAAGACTTAAGAACCTTTGGTCAGAGTGCAAATGGCCAGTGGAGAAATTCCACTCCAGCATCAGTTTCAACTTTACAGAAATCAAGAAACAGCCGAAGTCTTTACCTCGAAACTCGAAAGACCTCAAGGTGGGTTTTCTGGGTTTTCCCTTCCTTCAAACTTGGAACTGTAGCAGGTAGAGAAGTCGATTTTAAATTTAAAATTTTTAATTTACTTGGCACTAAATTTTGGTGACAACCAAATCTTATTATTAGAGGAGTTAGTTTGAGGAAATTCTTAGTGGATATGAATATATTAAAACCCTTGAGAATCAGTTTGGCTACTGTGAAACTGGAAGTGAATATCAGTCACTTTCTGTACTTTAGTAGCAAAGAAACTAGTGCATTTTACAGAGACTTGACTTAAAGTAGCTCTATACCTTATGGCCTTAATCTATTAGATCTAAGCTCACTAGAGAAGTAAGTCACAAAAAGTTTACCCCGATCAGCCCAACTACCTAATCCCTCACCAAGATAATACTGACTATTAAAGTCAGATGAAGTTTGACCTAAATGTTTTCCCCTCAGCTACTTTATTACAATAGTGAAAACCAGATTTTTTAAAATAGTATTTATAACTTTATATTACACGCTGGGTGATGGATTTTGCAAGTTTAGGATCATTTGAGTTTCTTCATCAGAAAGCTGAGCTCTCTGGTAAGATGATTACAACTGAGATGGAAAACAAGATGATTACAACTGAGATGGAAAAAGGCACAAAATGATGTAAAAATAAACTATTATATTATTAAAAACAAAATATTTCAAGAGGAAAAAAAACTAGCAAGATGACATATTTTAAGTTGTAATTATTAATTAGTACATGGACTTTGGGGATGTGTGTCAATACTCCCAGGAGTCATCTTCCTGTTTTTTTAAATTTTCTAAAATTATATAAGAATTCATTATTAATAACATTTACATTATAGAAATTAAAACTGCTGTTATAAAACTAGAGATCCCTTAACTACTATCCACAATCTTTTCCTTTCCCTTCAATGTGTTTCCTTCCAAACTTTTTCCTGTGTTTATTTCTCTTCATTCCCTCTTATAGATAGCATATATAAGTTGTGTAAACTGTCAGATGTAGTTTTTTGTTCATTAAAAGGAAGCATAAATTGTACAAAAATAAATGACAATAAAATATCAGAAAAAAGATATGCACAAACATATATACTTTGGCAAGTTGTTTATTCCTTAGTAATTTCATAGTTTTTTAAAAAATAATGTTACAGAAAGTGTGTGTGCTTTGTTTAAAAAAAAAAAAATGAAAATGCAGTTAAGTGAAAATAAAAAGATCACATTCCCACCAGACAGAAATCATTGATCTCTGTACATGACCCTTTAGTTCTTTGCATTTGCATACTGTAAAAAAATTGAGTTCATGCATATTCTTTTGTAGCCTGCTTTCCCAGTCAGTCCTCAGTAAGTTTTAGCTGAGTAATTTTTCCAACTCAATACATTTTATCTTTTACACTAAATTGTATTTAAAGTTTCTTTGTTTGACCCACTGTATTCTGTAGGTTGTAAACTTTAGTTTGTATTTATATTTGCAATCTAGTAGTTACCACCCTTAAATTTCTTATTAATCTGTAATGACCTCATTTTATGTGACAGGGTTTATTTATTGATACTTATCCATAGTATCATTATTTTGTCCTCTATCCTTTGTATTTTTTATAAACTAGATTTTTAGCTTGAATTAAAGCTGATGCTGTTTTATAACACATTAGAAAACCTATGGTGTCTGGCTTACTTACCATTGGTGAGACTGGATTGACTGGTGAATTAGGAGAGAACAGGTTGGTCCTGAATTTGTATAGCTAGGTTTTACTTTTTTGTAACTAGAATGTGATGTAAATGAAGTTATCTTGGTGTTACATGAATGAACAGCTTCATATCAGCCTGATAGTTATTAATAGCAACTGATAGCACTTATATGATAATAAGGTTATTAAAGTTAAAATTACTGAAATAACATCTTCCTAACTTTATCATTTCTTCTATACTTACTAATTGGCACTCTTCTATAAAGAGAGCTTTTTTCCTCATTAGCCAGAGCTACTTGGTTATTCCAAAATACATTTTCTCCTGTGAAGGCAGAATAAATTTTACTCACTACCAACTTCCAAAATAAGTTTTCTTTTTAAATAGCCACTTCCAGCACACTCTGGTGGCACAGCAAGTTAAAGTGCGGCAGCACTATATAGCTACTGCAGCACAGATAATATACCCTGCCAGGGAGATGACCCACATGGCCTGGCAGACCTCTCCTGTCTTGCCTGCTGCTCTTCTCAGCAGTGATCTCTCCTCAAATCTGCCTGTCTGCTCCTCACGTTGCTTCTGGTGAATCCTCTCACCTCCTCCCACCCGCCACACCTTTGGCCTGTACCCCATTCTTGTATGCATAAATAAATAAATCTTTTAAAAAATAGCCACTTCCTGGGTTTTTTTTTTTTTTTTTTTAAAGATTTATTTATTTATTTGTACAGAACTGGGGTACAGGCCAGAGATGCGGAGGGTGAGAGAATTCACCAGAGACAGAGCGGGGAGCAGAACAGGCAGATCGACGAAGTACACTGCTGAGGGAAGCAGCGGGCGAGTCAGGAGAGGTTTGCCACGCCATGTGGTCACCTCCGGGGCAGGCGGGAATTGAACTCATGCTGAAGTGGCTTTAGCTTCTCAGTGCAGTGCTTTAACCCGCTGCGCCACCAGGGAGGGCCGGGTTTTTTTTTTTTTAAGTGTCATGCGGTCAGTGTGTTTCAGTCCACTGCAATTATTCTTTTAATGTTCATCTTAACATAACATTGGCCAATACAGACGCCACACTTACTTCCTTGTGTGCCTGATATTGTTAATTTTGGGCAGTTCCTTTGCTTTTTAGCTTTGCAAGATGCCTTCATACTGAGGATCTTACATTAAACACTCTCTCTCTCACACACACACACACACACACACACGCACACACAATCAGTAGCATAAGTACAAAATACATGGTGGGGAATTCATTTTGTCATCTCCAAATAGATTATACTTCCCTTGTTGTTTTGTCCTATATGCCTCTACCCTTCATAAGGAAGTAAATCTGTTTCTAAAATCTGTGTCTTTGTTCCTTGCCTCACTCTAATACACATATATACCATTAGAGTTTGAAGAGCTGAGTGTATATGGTTTTTTTTTTTTTTTCTTTAGAGTAATCTGATTCCATTTGGGTTCAGGCCACATGTCCTGATTTAAAGGATTTATTTCATTGGATTCAGCTTAGTCAGTTATGTTCTATTCTGCAACTTAAAGTAAAAAGGAAGGAAGATGAGTATGCTGAGAGCAAGTACCTCAAACTTTCTGGGTAATGATAGATGAAAACAAGCACCTAGAAAACATTTTTTTTTAAAGATTTATTTATTTATTTGTACAGAACTGGGGTACAGGCCAGAGATGTGGAGGGTGAGAGGATCCACCAGAGACAGAGTGGGGCACAGAACAGGCAGATCAACGAAGTATACTGCTGAGGGGAGCAGCGGGCGGGTCAGGAGATCTCCTCAGGGCAGGCGGGGATCGAACTCATGCAGAAGTGGCTTAAGCCTCTTTGTGCTGTGCTTTAACCCGCTGTGCCACCAGGGAGGGCCCTAGAAAACATTTTAAGTTATTAACTGAGTCTTAAGAGATTACAGTGGGTTTGAATTCACAAAAATAGGTTTCCTGCCAATTTTTAACTTTAGATGAAAACAAAACTTTCCTTCAGAGGTGAGGACTAGTGAGATCAGAAGAGAATTTATAGAAAGAGAAGCAATTTAAGAAAAAGTCTTCTGATTGTTTTAATGAAGGATAGGGACCTTCTGTTACTCTTTTCTAATTTTTTAAAATTCATTTTAAGAATTTGAGATTCTTCAGTTTGATCCATGTTCATATATTTAGTCATAAACTGATTTCCTCCAAAGAGCTTGGGGGAGGATCAGAGAGAGAAAGAGATAGCATTAGCAATAGCATACCTAAGACCCAGGTTTTCTGAAGAAATCTAGTCTGATATGCTTCCTGTCATACCCATAGCTCTGTCATTTCTGACCAAAAAACTCATAGAAGCCAAGAAATACAATTTAAGGTGTTTGGTAATAACATAGGCAAAACTAATACCTCCTAAGTGGTAGAAGTTGATACAGTAACCCATGTACCATTTCTTACATATTTCCTTCAAAAGGTACAACTGTCATTCTACTTGTTAATTTTTGTTTTTATTATTCCTTGTAAGTGAAAATAATCACTTAGATTAGATTTTGTTATTTACTATTTCTTTTTATTTTTACAATTTTTTTTAGTGGATTATCAAATACTTTTATGGGAAAGTCAAGCCATCACTGCCATGTATCTGCATATGAAAAATCTTTTCCTATTAAGCCTATTCCCAGTCCATCATGGAGTGGTTCATGTCGTCGAAATCTTTTGAGCCCCAAGAAAACTCAGAGGCGACATGTTAGCACAGCCGAAGAGGTAAGGAAAACCTGCACCAAAAGCTACTAAAAGTTAGAATCTTTCTCTGTGTACAACCATTTGTTCACACTGATGTAGATGTTTATTAACATTCTACTTTATTACGGTGCCTTTTTGAGGGCTGTCATCCGATCTAAAGAAATTAAATGAGATATTTTAGTGTACTTCATTTTTTTTTCAACATCTTCTATTCTTGATGGACAGCAGATTTAATCTTCAGTACTGATGGAATGACCTCTCAAGAAGTCATTAATTTTATATTCACATTGTAAAGATTAGAATGTTGCAGTGAAGCTAAATAAAGCTCCCTCAACCACTAACCATAATCTTATTCTCCTTCCTGTTCTCTTCTTTCTTTTCTGGACCCTTCCTAACTCTACATGTGGCAGAATTTGTTAACATAAATTTGTTAAAATACTTGCCTTTCTTATTAGAAACAATGCTTTCTCAATAAAAAGAAAAATCAATAAACCAGTTAAATAATTTGCATTCTTTAATTAAGATCTTTGAGATCATAGACTTTCCCCAAAGAGTGATGTTCAGTTGACACTTAAATTGTTCCATCTACTCACACTGTGGTAGAATATTAGCAAAATGTGGGCACAGAAAATAACTTGCAGAACTTTTGAATTAGCCATATGGTATCACTATAAAACAGATACTGTGAAGTTTCCTGCACTTTATTCCCAGCCTCAGTCCAGCCCATTGACTTCTATGCTGTTACTGCCACGGGAAGAAACCAGACTCAAACATCCACACAAAAGAAAAGAAAATTATTTTATGCTATATTTATCTCCTACTTACTGTATTTCTCACACATAGGTTGCATCTGCCTATAAGAGATTATGATCCCTTAAATGCAAACATTTATTTTCCTAAGCACAGAGATATTAGAAAATTACCATAGACTTATTTGTTAATTTAATGTGATTTTTCTATTGGCAAGGTTATATGAGCTGAAACCTAACTTTTGGAGGGAAAGAGGCATGGGAGGGGCATAAAGAAGCTGATCAGAACTCTTTAGCAGTCTTTCTCTGGGCGAGCCCTCATTTTTGACCCTGACAATCAAATTTGTTTTTTCTTAACAGTAGTAGCTATTAGTTTTAAGTCAACAAAACCTTAAAGAAAATAAATGTTATCAATATAAATTGTTATTTTTTTATATAAAAGGGATGGGCTTATACCTGTTTATTTAAACATTAGGCACCTAATCAGTATTAGACTAGTTGTATGTGGGGATGAAAATGAACAGTAATGACTATACATGTATTAATATTAGGTTTCCAGCTTAAATATATTACTGTTTTATTCCTTTTTACCCCATGAAGTAGGTAGAAATGAGGTAATAGCTACAGATTTGAAATTAACAGTTATAAAGCTAGAAAATGACCAGCTCACAATCCAGGTCTTCTAAAGAATTCTAGATTAATGTTCTTTATATTACATAATACAGTGATAGGGTTCTTTCCCATTGGAGCTCACAGACTATGTGGTCAAGAATGCAGCATTTCTTATATATAAATATGACTAAATAATTTTATGATTTGGTAATGAAGTGATTATTTGTGACATGCTTAGTAAAAACTCTGTGCTCTTTTTGCTTTTAATTTTGTATTGAATCTAAAATATCCAAGCAGAGGTTGTCAAAACTAGTAAATCACATTTAGTAGGGAAATGGGTAAACAAGAAACTGGCAACATTTGTCTTTGATGATAAAAGCTGAGCATTGGCAAAGGGGAGATTTCTTTTTCACTATACCTTTTCTACTATTAAATTTAGTACCAGGTCTGTATTATTATATACAAAAGTTACTGCTTTTGTAATTTCTGGAGTTGTAGTGCTTGTGCTGCTTGCTGCTAGGTAGAACCTAAATAGTCTGTGGGATACAGAGACGTACAGGGAAGGGGACAGCAGCAGCATGGCAGCTGGATATAAACTCTGCAGCCCTTCTCTGCCACATATTGCTGTTACTGGGATCATGAGGTCCCTTTAGACTATATGTCACTATATACCTGCCATTCACCCACTAACCACCAGACCTTTGGGCCACTCAGCTCTTCTTCCTTTTCCTCCTCCTCCAGATTTGGGTGACTGATTATTTCACCCTTTCAGCCAACTCTCCAGACTGTCTCAATGGAAGCAATGAAGTTAGAATTCCCCTTCCTTCAACAGTGTAATGGTGATGCCAAGCGTTAAATCTGCTATGAAACAAATGGTTCAGGGAATTTTGTTTCAATTGTTTTTTATTCCATAATTTCCTACCATGAGAAGCAAGTCAGATGTACTACGGAAACAAGGAAGAACCCAAATATGAATAACATTATGAGATAAACTTCTGTTTACTTTTAACAAGTTATTTAGATATTTAGTTTTAGATATTATAAAATTGCAAAGGAACATATAGTACTTCCCTCCTCCCTACACCCACCCCAAAATTGAAGAATTCATTAATGGGAATTTACAGACTAAAGGAAAAACTATTTTCCATGGAAATGTTAAAATCTCCCAGGAAAATGCAGTTGCTTATGTTAAAGAAGGGAACTTATGTGTTACTATGACTCTGCTGAATTTGTTCATTAAATTCAGGAATATGAAGCGATCTACAAAATAAACACTTAATCTTACAGCAGGAATTTGAAGAGAATATACGAGAAAGGCTTTGAAAATATGCAAATGTTGACTGAACAGAGCAACTAATTCAAGGGCTGTATTGAACAACCGTGCTATCCAAGAGGGTAACCACTAACTGCTATTTAAAATAATTCAAATTAAATAAAAATTTAGTTTCTTACACTAGTCCCATTTCAGAGTTTCATTAGCCACATCTGGGTAGTGGCTAGGATAGTATAGAATATTTCCATATCACAGGTTTTGTTAGATAACATTTTTATAAAGGATGTGAATTTGCTTAGGAAAGAGAAAATAAGGACAGTTCACTTATAAGAATTTAGATGCTACTTTGAAATACATTTGCCTCATTGTATATGTTTGTTTGTTTTTTAGACAGTTCAAGAAGAAGAGAGAGAGATATACCGACAACTACTGCAGATGGTTACGGGGAAACAGTTTTCTGTAGCAAAACCCACCACACATTTTCCTTTACACCTGTAAGTCATAGAAACATTTCAAATGAATTTAATTCTACACTTTATTATTGGATATTAAAACTATTCTTTTCTTGCTAGGTCTCGATGTCTTAATTCAAGTAAGAGTACTTTGAAAGACTCACTGTTTAAAAATGGAAATTCTTGTGCAGCTCAGATCATTGGGTCTGATACTTCATCATCTGGATCTGCCAGCATTTTAACTACACAGGAACAACTGTCCCACAATGTGTATTCCTTGTCATCTTATACCACAGATTCTGACCCTCTCCATCAAACCCAGCATCAGCACTCACTTCCACATCAGCCAGATAACTTACCAGCTTCAAATACACAATCTGAAGGTAAAAATGACATATAATTATAATCAAATAGCCACTTAATTGTTTCTTGGATCTCTGTAATTGTAGGTTAAGTTGTTAATACACATGTATCTAAATACATAGTCACAAAATAATTAAGTTAGCCATGCCATGTCTAACCTAAATCTATACTTTTTCTTACACAAAGATAAAGAATTTGATGAAATAATTAATTTTAATGGTTAATTTCCTGAGCAGTGTGTGAAATCTGAGTGTAGAAGTCAGTTTAATATTTTGTCCATTCCTTGCACTTTACCATGAAAGCTAACTACTCTGAAGTTCTAGGAGTTTTGGATATCCATTAAATATCAAAGTAAATATTTTTCTTTTTGCATAGAAGAACTGCAGTGTAGGCCAGAGGTGTAGGGGGAGAAGAGAGGATTTATCAGAAACAGTGGGGAGCAGAACAGGTGGATTTATTAAAATACCCTGCTAAGGGGAGCAGTGGGCAAGGCAGGAGAGTTCTGCTGCACCGTGTGGGTCAGCTCCCTGGCTGGGGAGCAAACTCAGGCTGTGGTGGTGATAGCATTGACACTTAATCCTTAGGCCACCAGGGCTCATGAAGGTAAGTTTTTAACCAGGTAATATTTACAAAACCTGGACAGCAAGTTTACACAAGGATGATTGTCAGCAAGTTTTGGAAACATTTTCTCCCAAACTTTGAGAGCAGTTTTTTAACTTCTCTAACTTTGAATATTCAGTTTCTTAGCATTCTTGTTAATTAAGCTTTTGCTATGATAATTTTCTTTGCTGAGTTTTTCTCTTTAGGTATGCATTATATATGTATTTATGGGGTATTTATTTGGGTTTGTAGTTTAAATCCTGAGTTAAGTGGTTAGACATTAGGGATCTTTTGTTAGGTCAGTCTCTAAGGCTTCCCTACTTTCTCTCTTTTTTTTAAAAAATTTTGTTTGGGGATTAAAATTGTTGGTGGCATCACTTAGCTGTACATATGGAAACTTGTATTACATTTAATGAGTTACCTCATTAGACTCTGCTTCTTTCTGACTTACAAAAATGAACTTGCCTTTCTCTTCTATCTTTATCCTTATGCTTTATGGAAACAGCACATAACAAAATTATAGTAGCTTAAACTGTAGGTATCTAGAATGTACAATGTGGAGTTTTATTAATAATGAAATGCTCTTATGTTTATTTAGGATCAGACTCTGTGATTTTACTCAAAGTGAAAGATTCTCATACTCCAACTCACAGGTAACTTTTTTCCCCCTCCCTTTAATCACAATTTCTTCACAAAGAGATTCATAATATAAAAGTAAAACTGCTTCAATTCAGACATTATAATGTGTGGTTTGAATTATTTCAATGACTTCAAATTGGTCTGCTTCCTTCTATCTTTCACCATGTTTTCTAATCCATTCTTCTTTTTCTTTAGCCCATCTTCCATTCTGCAACCATCATGGTCTTCCTAAAATGCATATTTTTCTCACTTATTAGAGTTCCTCTAGGGTGACTTAGCAGACAGAATCAATCCTAAACTCCCTAGTATGATATACAGAATGCTTTCTCCACAAGATTTGCTTCCTATTACACATTCTTTGCTAAACAAATATTTATAGAAAGTCTGCTGTATGTTAGGTATTCTACATACAGCAGGGTGGACAAAATTAAGTCCCTTTTCTCCTGGAGCTTATACTTTTGAAATGGTTGGGATGGATAGAGAGGAGTGAGGTACAGGTATTGAGCAGATAAACATACCTGGTAGTTACAACGGCTGTGGGAATAAAAAAAAAGGTGTATGTAGATTTGAGTTGGGGGTCATTATACATCTAGGGTGGTCAGGGCAAATCTCTAGTAAGGCAATGTTGGAATAGAGACATGATACAGTTAAGAAAGGGAAATAGGGAACTCCTTGCATCTGTTATCTGCTGAAATTACTTTAAATATGATGTGCATTTTCTTATATTCAGTGTTTATTCTGCCCAGTTTGCTCTGTAGTAATCTCAGTTGTTTCTCTGGCAGTAATATCTCTTTTAAATCTCAATTCAAATGTGATCTTCTATAAGGTGCATAGGAGGTACCAAGACTTCTTCCTCTGTAATCCAGTAGGTTACTACTTAAATTGCTATGCTTTGCCATATATAGCTTTGAGAGTTCATTTGCTATTGAGTTCAGTTTTCCATTAAGATTAGGGTCAGTAAAATACTCTCTTTCATCTTAGTCCCCTTTCTTTTTTGCCACTTTCCTACATATTCTAAACTTTAGATATTTTTTTAAATTCTTTTCTTTGTTATAGTTCCTCTTACACTTTAAATTCTTTAGTCTTTATACATTTTTTTCATACTCAGACTTGAGTTCTGATAATGCGTTTTCCAGACTTCATGAAATTTTGACAAGTTACTCTTTTGAATCTCAGCTTCCTTATGAATAAGAGTTAATATTTTATTATTGACTTGTGAATATTAATTTACAAATATGTAAAAAGTGTTTCATGGTCTATTGGTTTATATTGTTTGGTTGATACTGGTTTTTCTGATTTCAGCCTACTCTCCCAAAGGCTTGGTTCATTGCTCCATACAGAAGTTTTCTTTGGGAAAGAAAACATTGAGTCCACTTCCACTTGTTTCAGTTAGGGGTTGTCAAAGAGCTGAAGTTTGAGATGAATAAGAGACCCTATGATAGTTAACAAGCTTGTCACTTTGCTTAGTATTATTCACCTGGGTTGTAAGAAAGAAATACATTTTAATTCTCTGCTCCATTTTATTCATTGCTATCTAATATGGACTATTATGTGGGTGGACATTTTAGTATCCACCATGATTTGTAGAGTATATTGTGATGTAAGTAGAATGACAAGTTGTCCAAGAACACACAGGGTTGATTAAATCATGAATCTCACAGGAGAGTATTATTCTAGCTTAATAATTACCTGACAAATGATGTACTTTTTACATAATGTTGGTCTCTCATGCACGTAAGGAATTATGCTAGTCATTTCTCTGCCAAATGTTGGGTCATCTTTATAACTAATATATATGCAAATAGCTCATATTTATATTCCTTTAGTTCCCAAGTACAATTATTTTATGTAATTTGGTTACCTTTTGTTTATTCCATGCTTAGGTATTATTGTAAACTATTTAAATGATTGCTTTTGTTGGTAAAAATACTTGAATATTCTCATAAGCTTCCTGATCATTTGTTAAAATTTTTTCCCCACCCATAGTACTACATTTTTCCAGGCAGAGCTGTGGATCAAAGAATTGTAAGTTATTTTTGTTATTTTTTTTTCTTCTCCATTTCTTCACTTTTTTTTTTTTAAAGATTTATTTATTTGTGCTTACAGAAATGAGGTATAGGCCAGAGGCTCAGGGATGGCGAGAGGCTTCACCAGAGACAGAGTGGGGAGCAGAACAGGCAGATGGACGAAGTACACTGCTGAGGGGAGCTGCGGGCGGGTCAGGAGAGGTCTGCTACGCTATGCGGTCACCTCCGGGGCAGGCGGGGATCGAACTCATGCGGAAGTGGCTTAGGCTTCTTAGAGGAGTGCTTTAACCCGATGAGCCACCACGGAAGGCCTGATTTTCTTTTTAAAGAAAAAAAAAACATACCTCTTCTTTTAATTAGGAGAAACCAAACATTTAGCCAGTCATCCTGCCTGTGTTTAGTCAGTAAAAATTAATGGCTTATATCTACTTAGAAAACAACTTTTAAGTTGTTGGGTTTTCAAAATTCTATAGGGGTTGAAATATTTCTTCGTTGTACTTAATAAATCTATAATAGTTACTGAAGCTAAATTGAATCAGCAAAATATTTCAGTTAGCAATTATATAGACAAAGTAAATGTCATTTTCACTTTGATGAAACTAGTGTTCAGTTTCAAGAACTCGCTTTGAATTATGCAAAGATTTTGTTGATTTTCTTTTTTTTTTTTTTTTTAAATTTATTTATTTGTACATACAGAACTGGGGTACAGGCCAGAGGCTCAGGGGTGGCGAGAGGCTTCACCAGAGACAGAGTGGGGAGCAGAACAGGCAGATGGAAGAAGTACACTGCTGAGGGGAGCAGCGGGCGGGTCAGGAAAGGTCTGCCGGGCCATGTGGTCACCTCTGGGGCAGGCGGGAGTCGAACTCATACAAAGTGGCTTTAGCTTCTCAGTGCTGTGCTTTAACCCGCTGCGCCACCAGGGAGGGCCTGATTTTCTTTTTAAAGAAAAAAAAAAACCATACCTCTTCTTTTGGATATAATTAGGATAGATATAATGTTTGAATTAAATTCAGTGATACTTTGTTTTACCTTCTCACTTGGGATTCACTCTCATTTTGGGATTGCCAGAACAAAACTTCACTTTCTCCATTATTTTAGAAACATGTTTTAAAATAGCCACAAAAGCCACCACTTCAGTTTTAGCTGCAAGCTAGTAATTTTTATTCTTTCAAGAAAAAGCAAAATAGTTTCAAAATACATGAGGTTTCATTCTGGGTCTCAGTAGTGTAGTGGTTAGTGTGAGAATTTTAAGCTTTCTGTTGTGAGGGTTTTATACTTAATGTTCATTATGCATCAGTAATATGCTTAACGCATTTCTGCCACATTCCTTTTCATTTCCTAGAACTAGTGTTTATGATTCTCGAGCACGAGAAAGATTACGCCAGATTGAAGAACAGAAAGCACTTGCATTACAGTTTCAGAACCAGGTAAAACAAATTGGCATAAAATTGTTGGCATAACTAGTACATCAGAGTTGAAACTACTTGGGAAGATTACTGGATTTGGGATTAGAGCTATTGTAATTGCAAGATTTTGTAGTAGCATAACTTTGTGTGATAAGTGGTGTATATGTTGGTCTTTTTCCAGCCAGTGCTACTTACTCAGTGTACATAAGAAAATAGATTTATTTATGCCACTTATTCCGAAGTTCTACCTTTCAGAGATTGCAGGAACAGGAACATTCAGTTCATGATTCAGTAGAACTGCATCTTCGTGTACCTCTTGAAAAGGAGATCCCTGTCACAATCACTCAAGAAACAGAAAAGAAAGGACATAAATTAACCAATAGTGAAGATGAATTTCCTGAAATCACAGAGGTAAGTTATGTATTAGAAATTTGTGTACCAAGAGCTGTGTTTAGAAAGAAGACTTTGGACAAGTTTCAAACATAAAAGCAATGTAACACCTGGTGTTTAAATTTTTACTGCATACTTTTTTTCCCATTTGTATTATATATATATATCAGTCTTGGCTTTATTTTTGAAGGGTTATGGAAAATTAATAACAGCATTATGGGTGACTTTAGCAGCTTCAGGGAAAAGCATTTAATAAATTTGAGTTTCATGTAGATTTTTACTGAGTGGATGTGTACAGTATTTGATGTCAAATAGTAAGTTGTGGCTAGTTTTTAAGTAACAGCTAATTCATAGAAAGTTTATGTACATTTTTATTTCTATTTATTGATATGACATTAATTTACACTCTCTAGGTTCCAGGAGTACATTTTCTCACCTCATCAGCTTCATATATATCACCACGTCCATCCACAGATAGCCAGTCACTATCTGTCACCAACCAGTTGGCCCTCTCTACCCTTCTCCCTCCCTACCTTCACTGGTAGCCACCGTTTGTTGCCTGAATCTAAGAGTTTAATTATGTTTTTGTTTTGTTTGTTCATTTGGTTTTTTTTTTTTTCCTTTATTTTCCACAAATGAGTGTAATTGCGAAATATTTGTCTTTCTATTTCTGATTTATTTCACTTAATATAAATCACCTCAGGGTACATCCATGTTGTCAAAAATTATTTCATCTTTTTTATAATGCAGTAGTATTCCGTTATGTATACAGACCTCAGTAGTCTTCATTCATCTGTCTTCAGGTACTTGGGCTATTTCCAAATCTTGGCTTTTGTGAATGGGGCTGCAAAGAACATAGGGTGCAGATATCTTTTTGAATTAGAAACTTTCAGAACTTTTCAGGTAAATACCCAGACTGGTTTTACTGGGTTAAAGCTAGTTCTATGTTAATGTTTTGCAGAACCTCTATATTCTTACCAGTAGCACATAATGGTTACTTTTTCTTCACATCCTCACCAACACTTGTTATTTCTTGACCTTTTGATAATGACCATTCTAACCAGTGAAAAGTAAGGTGGGACCACATTGATTGGCATTTTTCTAATGACAAGTAATTCAGAACATCTTGCCATTTGTCTGTTGGCCAGCTCTATATTTTTGGTTAAATGAAGTTTGTGTAGCATTTTAAAATAGTACATTCTTAATTCTGCTATGACAAAAAGTATCATAGCTGTGTAGTAAATAGCTACCATTTATTATAGTTGTGCTGGCTTCCATATTTCACATTTAGAAAAATACCATGGGGACATGTGTCTGAAAAATACTACTTTTATTCCCTTACTACCTTTTAGAGAAAGAGTTTATTTCTTAGGAAATCATTTGATGAATGATGTAAAATATAATTAAATCTTCTCAAGTTTGAAAATTTAATGACAGGCTATTTTAGGCTTCAGAAACAATATGAAAGAAGGCTAGAAAGGGAGGAGGACAAGCAGCTGGGATGGAAAGAAGTATGGAGATCATTTTAAGGAATAAAAACCAGAATGTTAGATAAGTAAACTCTTGACGTGGTAAATATAGCCTGTGGAGTATGTGGAGAGTTTGATGAGAAATTTGGTATGTCTGAAGCCTTGTAAATTGATTTCTGACACCTTCTCGTTCTCTAGGAGATGGAGAAAGAAATAAAGAGTGTATTTCGAAATGGGAATCAGGATGAAGTTTTGAGTGAAGCATTTCGCTTAACCATTACACGTAAAGATATTCAGACTCTAAACCATCTCAACTGGCTCAATGATGAGGTAGGTGATCATGTATCTTTTTTTATATTCAAGCAGTGAACATTAAGTAGTAACTCAAGGCATTGTATGATTGCTTCTCAAAAGTATGATTCTCAGATGACCTATGTCAGAATCAAGTCTCAGGTCTTTCCATTTTCCTGAATAAAGATGAGACAGTATAGTGGCCAGCTTTTATGTACCTTAAAGTCTGATTACTATTTAACGTAACCATCATATATATTAAAGATTTGGCCACTGAGAGATTTACTCATTGGTAATCTCAATCTCTTTAGTACATACCTAGCAGTTCATCTTTTTGAGCAAATGTATATATAGCTGATCATGTCTGCAACATAAAGGAATACTTTGGAATTTCCATGTAGAAATCCATTTCTACTTCCATTTATCTCTATTTGTTCTAGGTTACTTAGATTTTGAGTGATAAGCTTTCTAAAATAGCTTACAAAGCTCTATTGCTAAAAGCTATAAAGCTAAAAGTATATTGGAAAAGTTACATTGTTAAGTATTGGATTATTAAGAGAAAAATTACAGCACTCATAGCTCCCCAGATTTCTATTAAGTAGATTAATTACATTGCAATTTTTAAAAATAATATAATAGCCTATTTTTACATCATTTTTTGCATTTTTCCATCTTTACATTGCAATTCTAAAATTGATCCTTTCTATTCCTAAATCTGTAGGAGTCTAATTTATTTTTAAAAAGATTTATTTATTTATGCATACAGAAATGGGATACAGCCAGAGATGCAGCGGTGGTCAGAAGATTCACCAGAAACAGTGGGGACCAGAACAGGCAGATAGGCAAAATACGTTGCTGAGGGCAGCAGGCAAGTGAGCAGGAGAGGTCTGCCGCACCATGTGGATCACCTCCGAGGCCAGGGATTGAACCCACACTCAAGCTGCCACTGCTTGACTTAGCTCTGGAGTGCAGCACTCCAACCCACTGTGCCCCAGGGAGGACCCGGAGCCTATTTTATTTTAGAAGGTTATTTTTGTCACAGAAGAAGACACAGTTGAATGTCTTCTAGTTAGTACCCATCTCCTTTGTTACAGTCATTCAGTGCATCCTTGCCTGTGTAGACTAAAATTTCAAATGTAGATGATTTTTAGGTATTTGGTATAATAAGCACTAGAGAGCCTACATACTTATATTCCAGCCTTACATGCTTAGAAACTTCCAAATAATAATACTGGCTGACATCAATTGAGTACTTACCTCATTAGGCAATATTATAAGTGTTTAATGTGTGCTGCTAATAGTCATCACAACCCTGAAGTTTTATCATTTTCATTTAATAGATGAAGAACAGGCACATTTATTTTCTCTGGGGCCACTTAGATGAAGTCCTATTTCTTTGTCATTAGTCAGCTTTTATTATATAAATATTAGAAGCACATCACTCCCTGAATAATATCTTTGACTACGAATAGTGAGAAAGACACGGTTGATACTTTATTGTTTTAGAGGAAACTCCTTTGATTCATTCAGCCAAGAATAATAGTGTTAGGATACTGGATCAAGTAACAGGGTCAGGACTCACCAAATCAAAGTGCAAAATGAAAATCAAAGATGGTCAAAAGTATCCATCAATTAAGTCAGTAATGTCTCGTCATTTACCTGCCCCTGCTAAATAGGAAGTGGTAGGTTCTTCTGCAATGATTGTAGCCTATGTGTTGTAAACTATGTAAAATCTTCTAGAGGGCAGCAGTGTGTAGGATATGAGATCTTGCCCTTTACTGTGGCAGTTACCTCAAAGATCTCTTACAGAGGCAGCATTCATTAGGACATAGTTTCCATTCCCTGAACCCATCAGAGGCTGAGTTTTAGCAAGCAAATTCAGTGGAAATTACATTATTTAGAAGAGACAAGAAGGAAAAATTACTTTGCCTACTTTATCCTACATCTACCTATGACTTACATAAGATGACTTATCTTGAGTTCAGAATAGTTGTTAATCTTGAAAGCAGGTGTAAATTCACATGTCAGTGATTATCTTGAGAACATTTTTAAAAGCCTTATTTTCAGAATACCATATTTCTTAGACTTTCAATGTTATTTTCCTTGAGAAACTAACATTCTGATGGAGAATTAGCAGATAATCTTTAAGGATTCTTTCTCACTTAAAAATACTTAATTCTGTTTCTCAGTTGTGAACTCCTAGTCTTACTTTGCAAATAGTTTATCCTCTCTTCAATCCATTTTTCCCTTAAATACTTTTCATTTATAATAATTTCTCTTATACCGCCTGTCAATTTTTCAGATGCCTTAAAACTTTCTCCAAAATAAAGTGACTGACACAAAATTCTTAACTGTTTCATAGAGCAGAAATATAAAAGCCTGGAAATAAAAGGGATTAGATTTACTTTATTAAAAAAAATAAAATCGAGAAGTCCTATATTTGGGATACTTAAGAAAGCCATAGGGTACCCTTTCTCTGGTAGATTTTCTAAAAGAAGAATAGACCACAGTGCCTGTTCATAAAACAGGCTTTCCAACATCTTTTTATGAATGGGCTGATATATATGTTAATAGTTAAATTCTCCATAACTTAAGAGGACATTTACTTCATTATAAGAAAATGAAACTTAAATATGCAATGTGGGAACTGACTGTCTTATAAAGAATACAGAAGAAATCTGAAAAGTTAGATATTTACACTGAATCTGGTAGTTAGTCATTAATGGATATACCTAATTTTAAAAAAGGGAGGTTATAGTTAAAGAGAGGAGAAATTAGTTGCCAAAAGTCAAGAAACAAAAGGATTTGGGCCCTCCCTGTTGGCAAAAGGGTTAAAGTGAAACACTGCAAAGCTAGCCATATAGCCCCTTCGGCACAAATTCAGTCCCTCACCAGGGAGTGATCCACATGGTGCAGTAGACCTCTCCTACCTTGCCTGCTGCTCCCCTCAGCAGTGTACTTCATTAATCTGCCTATTCTGCTGCCCACTCTGTCTCTGGCGAATCCTCTCACCTCCCCTGCACCTCTGTCCTGTATCCCAGTTCTATAGGCATAAATAAATAAAGATTTTTTTAAAAAAGAAACAAAAGGATTTATTGTTAAATGGGTACTAGAAATTTATTAGTTCTTAGAGATTGAATTGGATCACTTGTGAAATCCACCTTAAGGCAAAGACTTCTTTGAGCTTTCTCATTCTCTTTATAACCTGAAAATTCTGGTCCTTAGAGGACTTGAGTTGTTTAAAGGGCATCATGAAAAATTCAGAGATACCTGGAAATTACTAGGCTTACAAATTTATGAATCTGACTTCTGTTTCTGGTCATAACAGTAAAATGATCAAATTTATCCTCTTCATCTCAACTAGAAAATTAGACAACATAGGAAACAATTTTCAAACATTGGGTAATAGTACAAGACACTGATGAGTAAATGAGCAAAAGAAAATGAAAGACATAAACTTTATGCTTTTTCTAGTTTACTGGAGTGGTATACTGTGGACAGAATATTAATAGAACCATGCAGTGCCTGATAGTCTTACCAAGTAGAGAAGACAGTTCAGAGAGACCAAAGTGGCTAAGATTTGTGAGGCAAAACCCTACAGGTTATTTCTGGCATAAGCACTTCCAGAGGTCCCCTTAAATCTTTGACTTAGTATCTGTGCATGTGTGGGAACTAACTATTGGACCTTGGAGAGAGACTCACCAGAGAAGAGTCAGAACAAGACTCAATTAACATAGGTGCTAAGAATAGTTCAAGTTTGGATCATTTAAAGTAGAAAAGTCACAGAAAATTGAATAGAGTTCTCAAGAGGGCATTGCTTCAGGAGTGAGGCCAGAATGGCCCTAGAAGGCCTTCTCTGGTGGCGCAGTGGATTAAATAAAGCACAGCACAACGAAGCTGTCTCAGCCACTGTAGCACGAGTTCAATCTCCAGCCAGGGAGGTGACCTACATGGTATGGCAGACCTCTTCTGACCCGCCCACTGCCCCCCTCAGCAGTGTATTCAGTGGATCTGCCTTTTCTGCTCCCCACTCTGTCTCTGGTGAATCCTCTCACCCCACACACTTCTGGTCTGTACTTCAGTTCTATATGCATAAATAAATAAATCTTTTTAACAAAAAAAAAGAATAGTCCTAGAGTAAAGTGGAACCTTGTACCTACAGTTACAAAGTTTATTAAGTATTGAAAGCTTGTAATGATCCAAGTAACTATGTTTCAGAACAAAGCCTAACAACATTTAAAGGATTACAACAAATTTGACAGCAAAACCCAATCACATTAAAATCACAATGTCAAACATCCAATCAAAACTTACCAGGCATGCAAAGTGGAAGGAAGATGCAATTTATAACAAAGGAAAAGAAAATCACTAGGAATTCCCCAAAATGATAGAATTAACAGACAAGGATATTAAATGTGCTTTATATATTAAGAAGGTACAACAAGTGGACCTTATGAGGAAAGAAATGGGAGGTGGGGGGGGGGAATCCATATTGAAAATAAAGTATCTAAAATAAAAATTACATGCATGCAATGTTTAACAGATTAGACAGCACAGAATAAAAAGGAGTGAACTTAAAGATACAACAGTAGAAGCCAAATACAATACAGATAAAGCCTGAAGAAAGATGACCAGAGCATCAGTAAGCTGTGGAACAATATTTAAGCAGTTTGAGTTTGTAATTGGTGTCCCAGAAAGAAAGGTGGTGTAGTGGTGTTTAAAAATATATATTTGAAGGTATAATGGTGGAAGAGTTTCCAAATTTGAAAACTTACACTAACGTCCAGGAAATTCAGCATATTCCAAGTAGAAGAAACAACACTTTATAAAGTTTATCATTATGAAATTGCTAAAAAATGGTGATAAAGAGAAAAGTAATGAAAGTAACCAGAGGAGATGAAACATACTAGGCACACAGGAATAAAGACAAGAAGCCATATAGTTCAGAAGACAATGTAATTATATCTTTAAGTACTAAAGCAGAAAAAAGCTTGTCAACCTAGATTATATACCAAGCAAATTACGTCTTTCAGAAAATA